CCTAAAATAAAAAAAAGGCGAGAGCGAGGCCCGTCCCAGAAATGGGGCGGGGAAGGAGAAGTGGGCATGTGGGTTTCCTTCACTTATTTTCTTTTCTTTAGGTTAGGTTATCCCACTACGAACGAAAGACCAATGACACACCGGTCTATCTTTTTCATCATCTCAGTGTGAATTTCCCTCAAAATGATGTCTATAAAGGATTCCAAGGCTACTTTAACTTTCAAACAAAGGGTGCTGTTGGTGATAGAAGAAAAGGAAGGGGAAAGAAGGGAATGAAAGTTACCATTTTATCATTAGGTCTATAGTTGCTAGTTGCTTCACCTCAATATGTTGATTCAAGTAGGAGTAGGAGAAGGGAGCCCGCTATAGCTTCATCACCCGCTGCCACTTAAGACTCATCTGATGTCTCCTAACACTAACGCTAACATAGGATCTTTTCCAAACAAAACAAAACAAAATAGGTTGTTTCTGCCAAAAAATCGTCTGATGTTTCAGAGGATGGGATGTTCTCGGACTGAGGTCACAAAGGAGAACCTTACATAACTCGAGAATCCCTGTCAGTCAGATAGATCTTTCTTCAGAACATCTTATCTAAGTGTCTAGTGTCATGGTTTGATCAATCTATTGAATTCAAAGAACAAGGGAGAACCTCTAGTAGAATAGAATATTCTGCCATCGCTTAATCAAGCGCTACTGCTTCATTAACTTGTGCCGTCTGAGTCAGAAAATGTGGGATTTTATGCAACGGAATCCTCTTACTACGCTCCTGAGCCTAGGAAAGAAAAATCCCATTTGCCTACCTAACCCTAACCTAATAGTACTACTGTACTGCATATGATTTAGCAGCCCTTATTCCTTGCATCAACAGGCAATCCCTCTTAAAAGAAAGGCTACTGACTTGGCTGATTCAACAAGGGAAGGGAAAAAAGGCATCCATTCAAACTGCTCCCATTCCTATGTTAACACCAAGAGAAAGAAAGGAAGCCTGGAGCCTTCCTCTCTATCCATTCCTTTTTCATAATCATAAAGGAAGGAAATGCTTAGCTTACTAAACCAGCAACAGCGGAGTAAGCTCCCATATCCGTGAAGGACTGCTTTCCAGCAGAGTCAAACTAATCGTTGCTGAGCTTGCCGTTAAAGAGTAAGATGCTTTATAGCAGCTCTGATTCCTTCACCGAGAACGAGAAGGGAGTCTTATATTACGAACAAGTGCTAAAGAGGGGGTGGGATCTCTTCCTATATTTAGGATTTCTTTTAGTTTAGATAGGCATCCTTATTTTATTAGTTTAGTCCAAACTAAACTGGAGTGAAAACGATATGTAGGGAAGAAGAAGGGCTACTAGTGAAGATGCCGAGAATGGCCAGAGATGACCGGTCTTAGTTATAATCTGTTGCAAATGCATGTGAGGGAGGGAATGGTTGCATTTGAGTCTGAGTCAGGGAAGGCTATGCCATGGCATGGAACTTCTTTGTACGAGACTCTAAAGGCTTTGAAAGAAGAAGCAGCTACCCTTTCTCACTCTTCCCCGAACATCCAATCTCTTGATACGAATTGGAGACTATACAAGAGAGGGCCGATCCGACAAGAGCGAGGAGCTAGCCGCCTTACTCCTTCCCCTTGGATAGGGCTTGGGATTGAAAAATCAAAGGCCCAAGAACGAGCCAAAGATCAGCTCTTTTCACAAGCCGGAATGAAGATGAAGCTTACAACGAGATGAGAAAGAAAAAGTCCATCTTCTAGACTCTTCAATTCACTTCTTCCTTGAGTAAGGAATTGTTTTCACCTTGCCTTTAGTAAGCCACTAATGTATTTACCACCAAACTCTCTGGTGGATGACCATTCTCGTGACCCACAAAGAAAGTTAGGTGCTTCCCATGCCCAATCTATCCCATGTGAACCATTTTAGCATTTTCCCCTGCTTATTTTAGGGCAAAGCACGAGATACCTGGTACCTTTCTTTGTTGATTCAGTCCCCGACTGATATCTCCTTGACTTGACAAGTAACCAACCAGACTTATCTATAACCTTATTAGCCGCATCTATTTTTTTCAACAAAATCCCTTTTGCAACCCTGCGGGATACAAGACATTTTTCCTCTCCAAAAGGATCTGGGTTTCTAGTAATAAGAAGAGTAGAAGAACCACAGCGTGCTGCTGACGCTGCTGCCTCACAACCGGCACCTATTACTGTTGCATCAGCAAAAGGTAGGACGGGTCGTACGCACTTTGTGCCCTAGTTTATCTCTTCGTTGTTACGGGAGACAGGCTGAGACTAATGAGAATCCGTTATTCTTCTTGTCAAAAGTCTCTCGCTTCCTTATTCTTTCTTTAAGGACCTCTTCTCTGTGCTGTGGGACTGACCCAAAGCATGTTCATGCTGGGTAGCTTCACAAGCCAGATAGCTCTTCACAAGCTGAGAATACCTGGGATACAAATTAAGCTTTTTAGGTTCAGTGTGGCCCCCAACTCCCGAAACTCTCGGTTCATCAAACCGGCCGATTCATCAAAAAGAGAACCTGGGTTGGCAAGGTACATGTACGACTGTCTGAGATCAGAAGGTAAGGCGAGGCCAACGTCTCTCAGAGGGAGGGTATGGTACAATCTATCATAAGAAAACGCAAGTTTCCGGCCGGGGATCATGCTTTCCCTTCCTACGATGATTGTTTAAGCCGCGGTAAACGCTTCTAGAACGCCCGGAAGGTACTCTAACTCAAAGAAAGTGAAGGTGAGGGAATTCCGTGGCAAAGCAAGCAAAGGCAGTTCTTCCATCAGAGCACGTACCAGTCATTCTCCCAATCCCAGATCCTGATTGAGCGGTTTAGATAAAAAAAGTTCTACCCAGGTGAAATAGATCGAGATTTGGTTCCAGGTCGAGCACCTGCATTCGTTTCTGGAAAATATGGTCAAAAGGAGTCTTTTCCTTCGCGAAGAGATCCGGGGTCATTGTATTAGATACGTTATATCATCCATCCAACCGTCATCAGTCGGGTGCTTAGCAGGAGTAGGAATAGCATCGGCCCAAGCTTCCGCGGCTTCGTTGAGTTCTTTCTTCTATCGGTTCATCTCATTACTTCCTTATTTAGCGGATTCTAATGGCAAGGATGCTAAGTTAGCATTGGCTGGCTGAGGAAAATCCAAGTGGGAATAGCCCCTTCATTGCCTGAAAGCCAATAAAATAAAGAGTGCCTCACGTTCCACTGAACGTTGGGGATGGCACTGACTCTCGCCTTACTTAACAAGTAGGGGCCGACATCCGAACATTCTGTCTTAAGCGATAGGTAGACAATAAAAGTCCCAAAGAAAGAAAGTCATTTCTATTCTCGACATAAATGAGTTCTTCCTCGAAATGCCCTATTATATTATACGATTTAGCCAGTGAGTTGTCTGAAGCTGTACCCTGCCATGATAGAATTAGACTCACTGTCGCCCTTTGATTCGGGGGCGAGCCCTTTCGCCTTCTCTTTCTGCCATTCGTTACGATATGTGTACCCGGGAATAGTAGTTTGGAAGCCTAGATCGGGGTACGGGGTTTTCTCTATTTTGGAAGAAAAGAAAGGGCTTAAATGATTAAATTACTAAAGACATTGACTATTCAATCCAAATTTGGGAGTAGCTCTCGTCTGTGCATCGGGGAAAGCCTTCGTGAGCCTTTTCATGCATTGCTTTCGGACTTGGCCGAGAATGAGAGCTTTTGAGTGGACATAGTTTTCCTTGCCCCGGAAGCCCAGGAGTTGCATTCTTTAATCGCCCGAGTTAGGCTTTCGGTTTCATACCAATTTATCTATTCTGATAGCAGAGTTGTGTTAAAACCAATAAGAGTTGTATGTGCAATGACCTAGTCTTTGCTTGCAACCCAGTCAACATCCTCGGTTTAGCAGTCAAGTGACCAGTTCAGTCATAGGTATTCGTTATTTGAGTCGGTTTAGTTACAATCTCAGTCCACGGTGCATCCCGAGCACCATTCGTCAGGGCCACCTCCGGACCTTAAGGTATTAAGGAAGAATCGCCTCTATGTAAAGAAAGAGAAATGCATAAGTTCAATATTGGTGTCAGCTTGACTTCCTCTTACTCGACTGCCAAGAAGAGGTACGTAGTTGCTCGACCGAAGCGAGTACAAAGTCGACTGATAGGGAATAGAGACAGGTATGAAATGGCTCGACTGGTCTCACTGTCAGGGTTGGAGTTAGAAGGGGCAAGAATTGCTCTCTTGTCGCAGTTCTCTTATTCGCAGCTTTCATCTGCTGCAACAAAGTCCGTATTACTAGGATTTGACCTTCGACTGGGAATTTATCTTTCCTACGCCCACGCGAAAGGAAAGGGCTCTCCGAAGAGAGGAAGAAGAATGAATTCCTCTGCGGTCGTGAAAGGGTATTTCTTTTTTACAGTTAATAAAATTTTTGGCACCAAGAGAACATTTCAAATACGATGCGCTTATTTGCATAAGTAAGTCTGGCTTGCTTAGAAAGGAAATGGAATTATTTGAAAGAAAGTCTTTCCGCTTCGCTCCTTATTAATTAAGGTTTAGGCGTCGGCCTTACGAAGGCTAATTTCCACACTTTGATTAAGGAAGTAGAGATCCTAAAATAAAATAAATAAAAGTCTCCTATTTTATTCGCATCTCGAAATGAAAATGAGTTATTGTAGAAAGGAGAAAAACGAAGAGATGCGCCTTATCCGGGATAAGAGTCAGGGGCGTAGCGAGCAGCAAATCCTTATGTTCGGGCACAGTCTTCTTTTCTCCTGACACACTACCTACCCCGTCTCTGCCTTCTTTGTGTTAGTGTTCGTTAACTTCCTCCCTCCTTCGGGTGAATGAAGTTGATTGACCTAGCCTACATTCCATATTAGAGTGAGGTCTTGACATCCTTTTCCTGGGTACTATCCCAAAAGGAAGTCACTAGACTGAAAGGAGAGGTACGAAGTCATACTCTCTTATTTTTTTTTACGAGTAGGAGATTCGATATTGGGCTTCTTACGGATGTGGAGTCAGAGGCTAAGACAGCCCTTCTTCCCTTCTTGATTCATCCCTTGCCGCAGTATCATACCTAGTGAAAGAAAGTCATCAGTCAGTAGCGAGCCGAGCCTATTAGCTATTATAGCCAAGGACCTATCTCTATCTCTTCTATGAAAGGCTCTTTCTTTTATCAGACTTCAGGCTATCACTCTCTTCCGGGCATTAGCAAGCAATCCAGACATCAGGAGCATTGATATCTGCCGAGCCGGTAAGAAAGCTGTCTGGTCCCGAAATCCGGTAACAGAAGGATTCCGCTAGTCTCTGAATAGAGAAACAATCAGTCTGTGATAAGCATAGCATCAGATAGCTGTACAAGACAGAAGTAGCTAGTTCAGTAAGCCTACTATACTACGATCAGCAGTAGCATAGTAGCCATCCAGTTCGGCTATGATATGTATCTTCCTGTAAGAAGCATCAGCAAAGGTCTCTTTTTTTTCTTTTGGACTTGAACCTCCCCCTTTCTCTAATAATAAGGTAAGCATTTCTTTATCTAGTAAGTAACTTAGTTTAGTTAACTAAGTCCTTTTTCTTTCTTTCTTTCTAAGAACCATGTTCTGTTGACAAAGCGGAAATGCCACACACACACTCCTCTCAGATAAAGTATTTACAGATAAGCTCGGCACCTTACGGCCATGTGCCTAGGATCCCAATCTTCTGAGTGCTCTAAGGATTAAGCCCAAATCCTATAGGATAGGAATTGAAGATACCACACTCAGATCGGTGAATCTATCAGGCACACTCCAAAGTAATCCAACCATTCCGATCTATAGATTCATTAAGAGAACTTAAACACATGCAGGAAGAAGCACATAGACCATAGGGAGGGTGACAATTCATTTCTCACCAGTTGTTCCCATTGAACCTAGGAGAATATAACCTGATTGGGTTGCCGTAAAGTACAACTAAGGGCTTTTCCCATCCCTCTCGATGTTCTTTTTTCCTTGCCAAGGCCTTTTGACACGGGATCAGCCAGAGCTTATATATGCGAAGAGCTAACAGATTCCAGTTGGTAAGGAAAGATAGGAGGTGATTAGAGAGATCACAAGCCTATTCCACTTACCGATGAAAGTCTGAAAATAGAATTAATTTAATAAAGGGGTTGGTCTGGAATATAAGATGAGGGTCAGAGGGTAAAAAAGAAAGACCTTTTCTTATTCTTATTCTTAAAAAGGAGAAGTCAAGAGCAGGGTTTTCAGCTCATAGCGGTTGTCCCTAGCTCAAAAGGAAGAGTTAGCTTATCCAGACCGGGCTTTGAGGAATTTCTCCCCAAAAGGGGCACAACACATCTACAGGCCTTTCCACAATCCCTCTTCGTGTTCTTTTTCGAAGATTTGAGGCGCCCTATCTGGTCTGGCATAGCGTCTCCCGCCCCCCAAAAGCGGGGGCTCAGAGAAGCGGTTCCTTCCTCTCATGCTTAGGGATTTACAAGGAAATAGATCAAATGACCAAGTTGCAAGAACGGGAATGAGCTTTAAAACCTGATTCCCAGTTATTGAAGGGAGGGGAAGATCCCGCTACAGATCTAATTGCCTTGCCTACAAAAGATCAGGTGGCTATGGCTTTGAACGGCTCTAGCTAAAGTTCTCTTACCGGGAAGGCGTGAACCCAGAGGTGATCTAGGGGTAGCTCGGAATAGAGATCCATCCCAGCCGGGGTTAGGAAGCTACCATTCTAACATAAAGGGAGACCTAGTTGCTAACTTAACCTTAAGGAGCTTTGCAGCACTCCTTTCTTTTCTCAAGTAGGGGATGCTAAAGTAGTTGAGACCCCAGAGGAGAGGAAAGCACTGCAATCAGTCCTAAACTAAAGAAAGGTAGATGCGACTTCGTTCCTTTCTTTTCTTATAAGAGTGTTAGCGCACTGAATCTCAAGGCAATTGCACCTTAGATCAAGAAGTTTCCGCTTCCTCGTTTGAGCTGCTCCAAACCTTTTCAATCCAAACACAACTTTGAAGTCGGCTTGACTTGCTTCTTTCTCTTGTTCTAACGCTACTCTTCCGTCCCTGATGAAGAACGTTTTTTTCTCCTTACCTTAGATGAATAAATAAATAGGGCGGAGTCCAGGTTTGAAGTTTGCGTGTTGAAGACAGGAGAGATCGAATCGAAAGGGGCTGTGCTTTTCACACCATTCCATTATATGTCGGTTGTATTCAACTCATTCTCTGGCTCCGGCTACCTACTGTGGTTTCCCCGAATTCCTCACCTCAGATCTCGCTAAGACAGTCGTCTTGGATTGAGAGATGAAATCCTTCCCAACCTGAGATTCTTAATATAATATATAATATAATAATAATAGTAGGCTACATGCTTCTTGCCTCGTTCTGTGATCCATAGAGGAGAATGGGATGGGATCTCGAATCCATCAAGATGGTCAGTGTATGTTCTTTCTTGTCGATTGGTCGTGAAGAGGGATTGCCTATCTAATGAAGGCCGATCGGAGTTCCCGCGCTTCAAGTTTCTTTCATACGGACATACATCAAGCTCTTCTTTGGGAAGACCATCGGGGATGACTAGCCTTCATTGCCTAGCAGCTCATCTCCAGCTCTCTCTTTCTCCTCCCTAACACCCTACTCTCTCCTTGTGCTTTGATGCGGATCTCAGGTAGAAATTTCATAAGAGAAGAAGAATCCAATCCCTAAAGCTATTCCGGTACTATCGCCATTACCGCTGTAGGATTTTTCCTTGCCCTAAGACTGACTGAAGAAGATGGCATCAAGCCCGAATTAATCCTACTTATATGAGCAGACGATTACTGAAAACTTTCAACATCATGCCTTTTTTTTGTTTTTGCGGCTGTTACTATTTCCGGTGAAGAGTAGCTTTCCCTGTTTGTTATAGTAAGCAATTCTAGGCCCCCCTGGCATAAGCAAGTCATTTTATCCGTTCCCCATCCCCATGGGTTACTTCACTCATACGAAGGCTGGTTAAGAAGGATAGCTTATTCATTTAAGATAATACAATATCATAAAGCAAGGACCTCTTATCTCTAACTCAGTCCAAAAGACTGGAATACAAATTCGATCAATCGCTTAGATGGCGCCCCCTCGAGTAAAAGCTTCCACAGCCGGATATCCACTTCGTACTCCAGCTATTTCTTATAGCGGGAAAAGCATCTATATCAGTCTTCCTTAAATGAAGGATTTCCCAGCGGCATTTCTTACAGGACTAGGGAAGGAAATTGAAAACCAGTGAGACCGCCATCTCTGCTCACTCTTGTTCAACGGTAATGGACTGAAAGGCTTAGGAGACATCGTCTGATTCAGGAGTGGCAGAACCGTTGACACCAGATGCTTGGGCTTCCACCTGTGCGCCAGAATTTAGCCGGCCTGGAGTCTGTCACGGATCATCGAGCCATCTCTTCGTACCGTGTCCAAGCACAAAGCCAAAGACTTCTGCAACAGTCTCACGCACCTGCTAGTCTAGTCGCCCATAAGCTACAACACTTCACCATATTAGCATAACAACTCATGCCACCAACAAATGCTTCACTCTCGGACATATATCCATGCCCAACGTGGCTAACAGCACATCACTTTCAACGCCCAACATCTGGAGGTAAGACAGGGCCGACGCACATCTCATCCATTGAGGGAAAGTGCCATGGTCCTTTGACCACTAGACTTCGTCTTCGCCACTGACACAAGGTCCATTTGACATGCCACGCGCATTCCTTTGATCCGCGCCTCTACCAAAGGTCACAATCTAGCTCTTGGGTTCCCGACCCTTTTTATTTATCGATTAGGCATTGTCCTTCACCCTGTATGCGACTGAAGTGCTTACCGGCGCCCTTTACACATCCTGGCCAACAGTCCTTGCTTGTTGGTCCTTCCGAGAAACCGAATCTCGTCTTGATCCTCTGATCCAAGGTAGCACCGCACTCAAGTACTTTTACATATATTTTCTTTGTCTTCACCTACTTGAAGCGAACACAAGCTCCAAATTCGCCTTATAAGCAATCGAGCACCAAAGCCGATCTTCCTGACAGGCCGCATCCTCCATGGCCAACTCGTCAGTCTGACACTGACGGAGCAAGCATCTTTAAGAGTTTCTTTTAACGAGTCTCCCACACTCACAGGCACATTAGTCAGGGATCCCTATTGTAGGTTAGGTGCCAAGGAATCAATGAAAGCACCGACCATGTCCTCATAACCAGCCCTAAAGCTACTAAATTCTTTTTGGCCGCCCCTCTGATCTGAACAAGCCTAACCATGGACTTCGTGAGTGGCTCAAGAATGGAATCCAATAAAATCTCACTTCTGCCCATGCTAATCTTCCTTGGGCATTCTATTTCCCCTTGCGTGCTGGACACTCTTGTCCGAAACAAAGAAGCCCTGGACCCAAAAAAAAGGCTTTGTTGGCAATCCTTATTATAAAGAAATTCAAAGTCTAAATTGAAGACTTTCATTTATTTATAATAAGCAAAGCAGGACTTATTCTTTCTTATCTAGTTACAGCTGATAGGGAAAGCTATTGTACTCTATAAAGCAAAGCTAGTCTCATAAGACTAGCTAAAAGACTCTATTCCATATGCCAAAGCTTGGAGTGGGAGTTCGGTTCGATCCCTGGAAACATTCTTTACTTCACAAGAGTCCCCCTCGGATCAGAGAACTGGCTTGACACAGCCAAAGAAAAGAGGATAGTTCGATCCCAGATTGAACCGAAGCCTACTTCCTTTTTCTCGGGATCTTTCTCTTTCTTTCGGGAAAGGGAACAGCACCCTACTATGAAACTATGAATAACAGCAGTTCCTAGCCTGGGCATCATCTCATCACTTTTTGTACGCTATTTATTCATGAGTCATAACACCACAATCCAACAGACCTTCCCCACTAGACTGGAGTAGCGAGAAGATAAGCCTACCTAGGACAGAAAAAGCAAAGTCAGAAGAAAGGGGCCGAGGAAGAACCTGAGATCATGGAGTAGGAATAACATTCTCATTCATCAAGAACTTTTCTTCCATACTGTCCTATGGGAAATAAAGACTGTAGGACTGTAGCCATCTTCGGGTCGGGTTAACAACCACAGAAAGGAAGGGAAAGAGATCGGAAAGCACTCACTGAGTTACTTACGAATCAGAAAGATTGAGGCTTACTACGGCCTCAGATGATTAGGCGGGGAAAGAATATGTTGTTAATTCCCTTTGTTGCTGAACCTCATCCGTACACTTACGTACTCAACTAAACAAGGGCAGAGTCTGATCGACGGGAGTTCACTCACCAGGTATAGGCTCAGGAAGCAAGCAACAACTGCTGCGGATCCTGGAACGAAATGAGAATTTTCAATAGGCTTTTTTCTTTTTTACTCGAGTTCAAATCATTGGTCCGGGGTAAAGGAATGATATCCTAAGGAAGCAAAGCTAAAGTAATCGGTTGAACGCGGTCTAGGTAGAAGTCTTCCTATTCTTGCGTTGTGCCGGAAGTCTTTAAGACTTTCTTGATGTTAGGGAAGGGAGTAGCTATTGAATATAATCAAGTTCAGCAGTCCAGGCGGGAGGAGTTAATCTGTAATTCCCGTAGTTCCATAGGCAGGAAGCGCATCAACGAGTTTCCGTATCTCGGCAGTAGGGACCGAACTTCAAGCAATAGGGATCCGTGTTCAAGGCAAGGATCTATGTAATATGAATAGTAAGTTGCGCACCCGTCAAGCAGTTCTCACTCCAAGCAGGACTCTTCTATGGATTAGTGGGAAGGCGCAGGATAAGAGACGATTCGTCTATCTAAGTTGCTGACGAGCCAATACTGTTCGTGGGCAAGCAAAGTTTCAACTCGCAATCCATTTCTATAGAACGGAGAAAGGTTATGCAGGCGGGTGTTCATTTGCAGATGCTGGTCGGGGCCGTGGGGATGGAAAGAAAGATGAATAGTTCGATTGGCCTTGGCCCGAGATGGAGACACTGGTGGGTAGGTAGAGAATACCTAGAGACAACTCTCTCTAAGCCCCGGGGGAAGCTCGATGCGGGTCTTTGCCTAGCCTTCTCCTCTGCTCTGACTCCGGTTGATGTGCCTTCTCCAGTTTCAATGAAGAAAAACTAGTGGAATGCATTCTTCCAGGCGGAAGCCCATTCCTTGTGCTCAAGTCAATTAATTAAATTTATAAGATTCAAAGAAGGAGATGAAAGAGCGGGAATTTATTATTGACCAAGGCAGAGGGATTTCCCAGCAGAGAGGGCAGTGACATATAAAAAAGATTTCGGGTTAACACACCGCCTTTAGTTCAGTTCATGGACTGACGCTTATGAGGAGAAAAGGCTCTGGCAAGAGTTTCAAAAGAAATATCGGGCCTTACGAATATTTGTCCTCTTTCTCTTGGTGCCAACGACTCCCAATCTTCTTTAAGTCTTTGTCCAAAGATCTGCCTTGCCTTAAAGTTAAAGAGGGGACAGAGTTGACTGAAATAAGAGGGCTTTGCCTTTGTCGGAATAAGAGCTATTAGTCTAAGAGACACAAAGGCATACGATACGCCATTTCCGGGCTTAGAGAAGAGGGGCAAGCCTCCACCTTAGAAGAGGGAAAGTGCTTAGACCGTTAATGCCCCATCTAGCGAGATAAAAGGACTTAGAGCCTTTATCCCATGGACTTTAATCGGCTTCACTCGTTGATTGCCACAGATAAGCGCTTGTACTATGCATATGGATCACCGGATGACATAGAGACATGGAAGACCTTCCGAATCCAATATTCATTGCCTTTAGTTCCAACAAGGGATGCAAGCAAAGCAAGGAAATAAGTCCCTCGCCCGAGAGGCAGGAGCTACCTTTAGAGTTGCATAATAGGTCTTGCTTCCTTAATTAAATGGAGTTTGCTCTCACTATGCTTTTGTGATTCCGGATGGTATGTACTTATGCAATGTCTATCATCAGCACTCTTTCTTCTCTAGGAAAGTTTATCACTAGGGAATTCCACTCCTCATATGCGAGCTTTGCCTTTGAAAGTGAAAGAATAGGCTGCTGGTAGGACAAAAAAAAGGCTGCTAGAATCCCTTGCTATTGCTATTGAATCCGGTGCTGATGCTCGAAATCGAAAGAAGTTAGGTTAGTGGCACTTCTTTTTCACGCTTGAACTACGGGGCAGACTAGCGGAATGGAAGTTACATCCATACGGGCTGCGCCTGTACGTAAACCCTGTTGTCTTAGGCTGTTATCGAATCCCCTGCTATTTCATATGAGTAACTATCCAATTCCATAACAGACAGAGATGGGACTAGAGCTTTTGGCTTTCTTCCTTCACTTCAATCAAGGATTGCTGCTAGAAGGGCTCTTGCCCATGTCTAATGCCTTATTCTATTCTATGAAGACGAAGAGCTGGTGCTATAATCAGATGTCGGAATAGCAGCTGCGAATGGAATGTGGGATAAAGGATGAATTGTCCAAAGCCATTTTTTGCCTTGATTCCCCTAGTAAAGATATACCACGCAAGGAAGAGAATAGGTAATAGGCAGCAGAGAGGGGACTGTGGCACTTTCGGATCAATGATTAGCATTCATATCCAGTGGATCAAGGGTAGGTTCTTAAAATGCCTTCGAAAGTAAACTCCTGCAAATCCTGGAAGGAGAAAAGTGTACCCTTGAGTTAAAGCGCGCCCTTGGTCCTATTGCTACTGCTTCTGATTCACTTGCCTTACCCATACCCTTCCCTTCCTCTACTGCTGGTCGACTAGACTAAGTCAACTTGCTCGTGGAAAGGCAGGAGCCTGGAAGCCAGGAAGAACGAGCCCTTCAATTCTTCTATTCTGACTTCTTCTACAAAATGAGCATAGAAATAAGGGTAGACGCTCCTTTAGCCATCAATCCATAACGAGACTTAGGTGATCCCATCTCTCTTATAGAGAGGGCGAGAAAGAGCTCCATTGAGCGCCAACTCCAGCATTCACAATCTACTTCCAACCTTTAAGACTTGGTCGAGCAAGTCCAGAACTAGGCCCTTAACAGAACCAGGACTAGCCCTTTAGAGTAGAGAAAAGCGAGCAAGATCCCTTCATCGGAAGGAAAGAGGAGAACGAGGACAGCTGACTACCGCTCATGCCCCCTAGCCAATTCAAACTCAGATCCGAAGGCTGATGGGTGATTCTCTATAAAGTATAATATGACATCACTTTTAGCTGTTGGGTACGAAACTATACTATACTATACTATAGTAAGTAGGCTATGATTCACATCTCGAAAGTTCTCAGATCTGGTCTGGACCTAAGGCCTGGGACTGCTTCTTCCTTATCGCCCGAGTATTGCATCGCCTTGACTTGGAAAAAGAAATTGACCTTGAGCCTGCTAATTAAAGTCAACCTTTGCCTTTTAAAACAGCTATTGCTTGTCTTTCTAAATCATTATGAAGAGTGCCACATCTCTCGATCTCTATCTTCTTTAGCGGACATCGAGGCTTTAAGACCGATTGGCGCGTGCCCAAAAAAAAAGGGAGACCGCGTCTGAAGCCTTTGCCAACTTTCCGTCTCAGGCAAGAGCTGCGGAACTAAAGCACCAACGGCTCCTCTTCCGACATTGGCTACTGCTATCGGGTATGAACTTATAAATTCAATTAAGCAGTTGATGCCCTGATCCCGGGAATAAGATAACTTTATCTTCCAGGTGGCAAGAGTGAGTAGATAGCAGAAGTTATTTCATTCCTCATTCCTGGGATATTCGTTAAGTTTGCCCATTAGGTAGGGGTCTTTCTCACCGGTGCTATCAATAAGAAGGAGCCTTTTCCCTGGGTAGGCTAAGCCAGAAAAGAGAGAAAGAGAAAAAAGAGAATGTTAAAAGGCTACGCACCTTGGTCCAGAGCGAGGATTGGGATAAGTTTTTCCCGTTCTCTTTAGTTCTATTTGAACTAAGCCGAATCGCTATCTCTGGAACCAAAGTCGTACTCTCTTTACTAAAGTCCTAATGTAATGCCCTTTAAACCACCAAAAGGTCCTATTCCGACAACACTGAAAAAGGGCTCTCTCCGTCTCAGTGGGTCAGTACCTTAAACTAATTAGCCATTTCCAAGCTGCTCTTTCATAAGCTGTGATGGCTCTTTTGAATAAAAAAAAGGCATAGTCTATGTCATCTTCTGCCCAGGAGCATTCGACTGAAAAAGTATGCCATTAGTAAGACTCTCTAGAAGCCTTAGGAGCTATGGAGTCTGGTGAGGTAGCTCTTGTCTCTTGGTCAGCTGTTTCCGCTCGAGTGAAAATGCTTGATGGGGCGAGATTTGCCTTGGGTTCGCTTTCCGGGTGAGGTTTAATAAAAAAGTAAAGTAGGACAGCGGTGACCGCGAATGGCTATAGTTCGTCACTTGCGGTATAAAAAAAAGTAAGGAGCTTTGAACTTAGCTTTGAAGATCAGCCCTAAGCTAAAGCGCTTTCTTTCTAGTTTGAGAGATGGAAATGCCTAATCAAGTAGCCAAGAATCATCGATTTCGGAGGGGAAATGAATTTAGGAAGGATCCGATCCCAAGTGACATTGAATCAGTTGGGGGTATAAGCGCTGCTATTTCAGCAGTTGGTGTTGGAGGACTGAATGCCAGTCGAAAGGCGCATCTATGACTTAATACCTAATTTGCCATAGATAGAAGGGCTCGATCCCAGACCTAAGCGCAAGGGAATTTTTTTAGGTAGGGCTCAAGCTTTATTTCACGTAGCTGACTTTACCGTCAGCTCAATTGGAATAGTTTTTCGCTATGTTCGCAGGCAAGTGAGACGATCCATCAATGCCCTTATCTGCTTCGAAAGAACCGGTGTCATCCAAACATGGTGAAGAGGTGGCAACTGGATCAATAATAGCTGAAACTTCTACTGTACAGGGTTCGGCTTGCCCAACTGTCCAAGCTTGAGATCTATTTTAGAATATGCTTAACACAACACATGCAATTCGAACGAAGTTTTCTCGGAAAGATTTGAAAGTCACTCCGTTGGGTTCAATGCCCGCTAGTCCCATGCTTTCTTTCTGTTGGTCAACAACCAACCACATCTCTAGATAGTTCTAGACTAACTACTCCGTGCAGTAAAGACTCTC